TGTACAATTTCCATTTATTGTAATGATTTCTTGCAGGCCACTTCTTTTAGTCGAACGCCCTCTATATTTCATATGTAAATAAGTACTTAACTACATATTGCTCAATACAACGTAACTTTTTGTTAAGAAAAATGCATTTCCTCATACCTTCAAAACTTTTTGCTTGAAAATTCTCTCTTTTAAAGATTTTCAAAACTAGAAAAATATGTTTGAGGTCTTAAGAATTCAATTGAATTCTGTTTTTCCTTAAAAATACCAACAGTTTTTTATTAAATTTAAATTTGACTCTGGGTTTGTTTTACTAGCCCTGAGTGGTGAAGAAATTTGCTTTTTTATAATCAACACCTGAAGGTGGCGCTTTCCACCGTTGTCATGGTGGTAAATTAAATTTTTTCCCAAAACTAAGCCAATATCCTTCGTGAAAATATAAAATTGACTGTAGGTTTCTTATGTTTTCATATCCCAGAATGGTAGGGAACTTAGCTTGTTTATTATCATCATATGTAGATGGCGTTTTTCAACGATGAAGTTGTGCTTTTAATGGTATTGTTGGGGACGAGATGGCTTTTAAAATGAATTCTAAGTAATAAATTAGGTTTCTTTACAATTTATCCTTGATGAAAATGTAAAACTGCGCATAAAATTACAATTATCCTTGATGAAAATGTAAAATTGCGCATGGGTTTGTTGTGTTTTTATATGCCAGAATGGTGATATTTTTGCTTATTTGTCATCGTCATAACATATAGATGGCGTTATTATTAATATTTTTGTTTGTGAACAGAATACTATTGTAATTAGTTCTAACGAGTACGTTAAGTTCTTTCCCAAAAAAAAAAACAATCATTCTTCAACAATATCTAAAATTGCGTCTGATTTCTGGCACATCACCATATGGAAGTTATCTTATTTGTCATAATCACAAGTAGATGGCGTTTTTTCACCGATATATGTCGTTCTACGGCTCAATATAATTTTTAGGGACCAGATGGCTATTAAAAATTTTTTTCATAAAAATAAAAATAGAAACCTATTTCTATATTGAAGCATTATTTTTCAAATTTTTGGTTAAATTAAAAAGTAATATATACATTAAAATTAAAAGAAAAGGTCAATTGAAATGTGAATTTGAACGAAAAACAGCATTTGAATTGTTTTTCGTTCACATTTGCATTTAAATTGACCCTATTCTAAGCCTCCTATTTTTAATAAAAAAAATACAATTTCTAAGTTCAAATTCGAAATTTTAAGCTTAAATTATGTTGAAAATGCAAAAACCATTTTTCTCTCTTTGGTATAGTTTTAATATTTTATTTTTATATATCTATAAGTTTTTTTAGGCAATAAAAATGAAGAAATCACTCACCTACAATCTTAATAAAATAAACTAGGCAAAATTTTACAAAACAGAAGAGAAAAAAAAATAAACTACAAAAATCCACCCATTTGTCATACTATCCAACAACAAATTACACTTCGACAATGAAAACTTAAAAAAAAAACATGTTCATAACACCCACAAATTCATAACATAAATATTTCATTTAAAACCGGCCAAACAAATTAGCATAACAAAATATCCTCACATAGTCCTACAAAAATTAAAAAAAAACATGAATTACCCTTCCATTGTCCTCATCTACCCAAATATGACCTCCCTTTTTGCAAAATAACACACCTTATCTCATATTTTTTCACATGGGTGTAAATGGCATGTGAACCAGGTTTTTGTTGGAAAAAATATATAATTTTTGTTGTCCAACAAAAAACCGGACATGGACATGTGTTGTTTTGTGAAAAAAAAAACCAAAACAAAAAATACCCCACAACTTTTACTTTTTTCGTCATTTTCATTTACACATGCCTAATCACATTTTAATTACAAATCATTTTCCCCACCACAAAACAAAGAAAAAACCCTCAAAGTTCCCTCAAACTTCATCACAACAAACCTCTCCCACCCATTTTTTTCACAGGAATAAAATAATTAAGGCTATTATAAATTTTTGAAAGCCTTAAATTTTGAATTATGTTTTTAAAATTTATTTTTCAATGGTATTTTACACAAGTTTATAAAATATAAACTTTAATACAATTTTCAATGTTGAGTTTGTGTCTTCGTTTTTTTTACAAGCACTTTGACATTTTTTGTGTCACACCAAGTTTTTTTTGCAAAGCACCAAATATTTTTTTATGAAAAAATTTGGATTTTAAAAATCCAAATAATAATACATTTTTTAATGAAAATTAGCAATGCGTCATAAATATTTTTGTATTTTGCTAATGTCGCATGTTGTGCAATTAAGAGTAAACAAAACAAAAATGGAATTTTCAGTTTCTCATCTTTGAGTTTCCATAATTTTTTTCAAATAATTTAATTTAATTTCATGGAAAATTAAATACTATTTTCTTTTGATATTTTGTTGATTATGCTTTTGAAAAACAAAAAAAAAAAAAAAAATAAGTTTCAATACAAAAAGCGTTTTAGTTGATACAACATTATTTTGAAACCTATTTTTGTATGTCGAAGGGAAATATATAACATTTTATCAGATTTTATTTAGATTCCGAAATTAAGGTTTTGGGTTAAATTTACAAAAAATATATCTTAACATTTTTAGAAAAAAAAAGATTTTTAGAAAAAAATATATTTTTAGAAAAAAATTTCATTTGTAGAAAATTTTCATTTCATTATTTAGATTCCGAAATTAGGGTTTTCGGTTGAATTTAAAAATATATCTTAACATTTTTAGAAAAAAAATTATTTTTAGAAAAAAAAATCATTTTTAGAAAAAAATATATTTTTAGAAAAAAAAATTCATTTTTAGAAAAAAAAATCATTTTAAGAAAAAAAATTAATTTTTAGAATAAAATATATTTTTAGAAAAAAATTATTTTTGGAAAAAAGAAAATTTCTTTTTTTTACAATTGAGAAAATAACCTTTATTTACTATTTCTTAGGGCCAAAACATATACAGGGTGAGATAAAAAAACTGCAACAAAGTCAAACGCCATAATTTTTACATTTTTTTTTTAATTTTATTGAATAAAAACAAAAAATGTCGGAAATAGCATCAAAATTTTAGAATAAGTTTAGATTTGTTCAAATTGATGACCATTGCCATAACTACATTTTTACATTTCCTAGAATGGCCTTCAAACGGAAATAGAAATGAAACTGTCACTTGCTGCCCGAATGTTGCTCTGCGGTATTTTGGTCCATTCCCTGCGAAGTGCTTGCTTGGCGTGATCGACACTTTGCTATTTTTAGTGCCAACCTTGCTTTCCAAAATACTCCAGACACAATAGACCAACGGATTGGTATCCAGAGATTTTGATGGCCATTGTGCGCTGGAAATGAAGCGAGGAACCTCACGTCAAGGAAGTGTAACCATACTTGGATGGCGTGTGCTGAGTCCTGTTGGAATGTCCAAGGTCTGCGGCCAAAATGTTTGCTTGCCCAAGGCTTTAAACCACCCTCCAGCATATTTTCGCGATAAATTTCGGAATTCGGTGGAGAGCAACCATCGGCTGTTTTGGCGGCCCATACCATCACCTTGGCCAACCGAAGGTGTACATTTTCAGCTGACCTCTATTACAACGATCATTTTGTTTGTTTAAAAACTGCTGAACAACGAATGTTTTATCATCGAAGAAAACCAGATTCGGCAGTTCACCACTTTCGGCCAAGCGAAGCTAATCTTTAGCTCTTTATGGTCTATTTTCTTTCTGTTGGCCGAGGTCTGAGTTCTGTTGGCCAACCAAAGGTGCACATTTTCAACTAACCTCTTTGGCAAGTAAACTCGATCATTTCGTCTGTTTACAAACTGCAGGACAACGAATGTTTTCTCATCGGAGAAATTCGCCAGTTCGCCCCATTCGGCCAAGCAAAGCAACTCCTTAGCTCTTTTAAGTCTATTTTCGTTCTGCTGCGGTGTAAGTTCTTGCACTTTTTGGAATTTCAATGGCTTAACCCTGAGCTCATTTTTCAATATTTGCCGAATGGAATATTGCGAAATGTTCAGCTCAAGCGCCATTTTTCGGCCACTGCGACGCGGGTTTCGATCAAGTCGTTTTTTTACTTTTCGAACCATATCTGCTGATGTTGCTGTTTTCTTCCATCCATTTCCTTGACGTCGAGCGATACGCTACCAGTATCACGGTAACGAGCGATGGTACGAGACACAAAAGATTTATTCACATTTAAATGCTGGAACGCTCGAACCATAGCCATGTGGTTTTTCAGCCAAATATAAAGAATTCACACTATCACGCTTGAATTCCATCGCGAATAACTTTTGTTCTGGAAAATTCTCACCAAAATGCTTTTGTACGCTTGTAAACAATATAATGAGCTGTCACTGGAATAATTTTAACAGCTGTCGGATGAGTGGCTTAGAAATGACAGCAGTCTGAAGTTGGTTGCAGTTTTTTCATCTCACCCTTTGAATGTAAAAATATACTTATGAATATTTCTTAACATTTCATATACGTTAATTATTTATTTTTTTTTTTTCTATTTCGTTCCATATCTAAGCCCTCTCTAGAAGCTAGCTTCTTTCAAAATAATAACATATGTTAATAACAATGAATTATATTTTCTATATCTAAAGGTCTAGCTCTTGAGAATTTATTTTTCATAAACCAAAAAAAATTCAAAACAATAATTATTCGGACTTATTAAACTATAAATATTATATATAATATATAATAAAAATAAATATAAAACTAAAATTTCAAAATTTTTCCCTTTGACATACAGAAACAGCTCCCTAATTTTCTTATCCTCTATTAGTTTACCTTAGTTTCTCCATTAGTTTAGTTTTTTTTCTTCTTCTTTCCTTTAGTTTATAACTTAAAAATAGTCTACACAACTTCTTTCTTAATTCATATATATATTAAAAATAAATATAAATATTATTTTACTAATATTCCAAATTTGTTTGCTTCTCGTCCAACCCGATTCTGTATGGCGTTTCAAATTCTGCCTCATCGAATAGTTCGGGTATCGAAGGCAATCCAACGGTATTTTATCGTTTAATGCCGGGGTCAACGGCCCAGACGAATAAATTCCATACGTTTTATCTGCAACAAAGACCGGACAATGGCGATACGTGGGCCGATATAAAAGTCAATCATCCGCTGGACTACGAAAGTATAAAGGAGTATAACTTGACAATACGTGTTGAGGTAAGTAGAAAAAAATTCGATTTTATGCAATTTGTATAAAAAAATTAAATTTGAAAATCAGATAAATTTAAAATTTATGTATTTTTGTATGGCAGTGGACAGAACTGCATTTTAAGAGGAAAAGTCCTAAAATGGAGAAGAGGCGTTGTCCCTTCTTCCAAGTACTTCGACAATATTGAGCATAACACATCTCTAGATTGAATTTTTTTCACATTTATTTATTTTGCATATTAGCTATTTGTTACTCAAGATTTGCACCCATTTATTTTGAATGGCTAACAATTTCTTTCCCAGTAAAATTCGATTTCTTGAAAATCTGTATGGCCAGTCAATGGCATTTTTGACACGCTAGACATCCTTGGCCATTTCGGTATTGGATATCCAGTGACAATTCCAATAAATGTCTTAATGTAGGGCATAATTGTGTTACTCAAATTAACTGTATTTCACACATTCACATATTTCCCACTAAAATTAACAGGTTGCTTTGTCGTCCTGCCGATTCTCTATGGTCACCAATAAACGTACGTGTGTATCTCCACATCTGGATAAAATCAATTCCACGAAATTCAAATAATCGTTTATGAATGCAATTGACACAAGTGCTAATGACAATTGTTGAAATGGTCTGCTGACTATTTTCCTCGATAAAATGTCTAGTCACATTTCCCAAGTAAGGAGGGTGATTGGACCATGTGGACATAATAAATCATATTAATGTGGCGAAGATCTTTAAAGACTAATTTGAATTTTTGGTGGGGCCCAACGTAATTGAAACAAAAAAAAAAAAAAAATAAATAATAAAAGAAGGCCAGTAACTCTTCTTCTTCTTAGAAGACCTGGAGGTCTTTTTCATAGAGACCTTGATGTCCATTATTGGGAAAACCTGGAGATCTTCTTCATAGAAGACCTGGATGTCTTCTGCATAGAAGGCCTGGAGGTCTACTTCCTACATGACCTGGGAATCTTCTTCATAGACGACCTCTGACGGTCGTCTGCTTAGAAGGCCTCTGATGGTCTTCTGCATAGAAGAACTTTGAATAGTAGACCTCTGAAAACTCTCTTCATAGAGGACCAGAAGGTTTTTTTCATTGAATAATTAAAGGTATTCTCCATGAGAACTTCTACTAAGATATTGATTTTTTGTATAAAAGAACTAGAGGTCTTTTTCATAGAATTCATGGAGGTCTTCTTCATAGAAGACCTGGAAGTCTTCTTTTATGAAAATATAAAGATCTTCTTCATAGAAGATATTTAGGTCTTCCCCATAGATGACTTTATATTAGACATGGAGATCATCTTCATAGAAGACCTGGAGGTCTTCTCCATAGAAGACCTGGAGGTCTTCTCCATAGAAGACCTGGAGGTCTTCTCCATAGAAGACCTGGAGGTCTTCTCCATATAAGACCTGGAGGTCTTCTCCGTAGAAGACCTGGAGGTCTTCTCCATATAAGTCCTGGAGGTCTTCTCCATAGAAGACCTGGAGGTCTTCTCCATAGAAGACCTGGAGGTCTTCTTCGTAGAAGACTTGGAGGACTTCTTCGTAGAAGACCTTGGAGGACTTCTTCGTAGAAGACCTTGGAGGACTTCTTCGTAGAAGACCTTGGAGGACTTCTTCGTAGAAGACCTTGGAGGACTTCTTCGTAGAAGACCTTGGAGGACTTCTTCGTAGAAGACCTTGGTGGACTTCTTCGTAGAAGACCTTGGAGGACTTTTTCGTAGAAGACCTTGGAGGACTTCTTCGTAGAAGACCTTGGAGGACTTCTTCGTAGAAGACCTTGGAGGACTTCTTCGTAGAAGACCTTGGAGGACTTCTTCGTAGAAGACCTTGGAGGTATTCTTCATGGAAGACTTAGAGGTCTTCTCCATAGAAGTCCTGAAGGTCTTTTTCGTAGAAGTCCTGGAGGTCTTCTTCATAGAAGTCCTGCAGGTCTTCTTCATAGAAGTCCTGCAGGTCTTCTTCATAGAAGTCCTGCAAGTCTTCTTCATAGAAATCCTGGAGATCTTCTCCATATAAGTCATAGAGATCTTCTCCATAGAAGTCCTGGATGTCTTCTCCATAAAAGTCCTGGAGGTCTTCTCCATAAAGGTCCTAGAGGTCTTCTCCATAGAAGTCCTGGAGGTCTTCTCCATAGAAGACCTCTATAGAAGAAGGTTCCATTGATCGAAAAGAGGTGGCTACTACATTGCGAACCCAGAGATCTTATTAGTATAGACTTCTTATTATCGAAGAATTAAATTTAGATCCTCGCTTTTCATATTTTTTAAGTTTTAATAATTTCTATTTAAATTTGTTTTTCCTTTCCAGAACAATGGCGCCCAACAATTGGCTTCGGAGGCAACGGTCTACATTATGCTCGAAGATGTTAACGATGAAATACCACTCTTCACGGAACGCGAACAAGAAACCGTACTCGAAGGCGAACCAATTGGCACCAAAGTGACTCAAGTTAATGCCATCGATAAGGATGGCACATTTCCAAATAATCAGGTAAGTGGTTTGAGTTGTGATTTGATTGGATTTTATTTATGCAAATGCTGATTTTGTTTTTGTTGTGGTCGCTAAGTAGAAAAATAAATTCCATAATTATGTTAATTAGAATTTTTGAAGATATTTTTGAAAAAAGTTTTTTTTTTATTTTTGTTGTCATTTTGAATTTCTTGTTAAGGCTTTGAGTTTTCAGTTATTTTTTTGTTTGTGTGGCGTGGAAAAGGCAGCCAGGTGAAAATTATGTTGATAAGGTCGGTTGATTGCGCCAAAAACTGACTTGGCAGTTTTTGTCTTAAGTTTTGTTGTTGCTTTTTCTGCCTTGTCGTTTTTGTTGTAGTTGTCGTAATGTTAATTTTGCACAAAAAAAATGCCAAAAGTGCTAATTACTGCGTTTTATGGTCGTCCAAGTGTAAATTACATACTTATTTACACAAGACTGACAATTATACGCAGCTACTTTATTTTTGTGTAAATTTTGTGTGGTGGTAGTGGGGGCAGGGAGGGTGAGGCTGACTTGAAATTGTATTGCAATCTTGTCGTCTGCAACATTTATTATGAGACAACGTTTCATGCGTCAGAAATTCAGACGAATCGGGAGGTTAGCATTTGTTTGCTTTTTGAAATGTTTCTATGATGTGTTGGCTGTCGGGGTTGTAGGTCATGTGGAAAATTCAAGGTGAACATTTTCTTCAACCAAGTTTTATGAGGAAATATTATTTTGTATACCCTACACCACATAGTGGTAAGGCTATTATGTCTTTGCGCATTTCTTTGTAACATGGAGAAGGAAGCGAGATAGACCCATAGTTGCTTTTGAGGATATTCATAGAATCACTATCTGAGTCGATTTATGCATATCAGTCCGTCTGTCCGTCCGTCCGTCAATGTATTCTTGTAAACAATATGCAGGTCGCATTTACTATCCGATTGAGATAAAATTTTGCAAACAATGTTTGTTTGACCCAAGAACGAACCCTGTAATAATCGGATCAGATTTAGATATAGTTCCCGTATATCATCAACCGATGTCATGTTAATTCTGCACTAAATGGTCAATATAAGTCCTAATGACCTAAATTTTGGTACATTCCACCGAATTCCGTCTAGAAGCAAATAAATCAAATTTGGAGAAAATCGGTCCAGATATAGCTATAGCTCCCATATATATGTTTCATCGGACTTGGGGTTTTAAGTCACTCACATGCGTAATATACACTCCAGAAGAATACTGATCAGATACTGCTTGAAAATACCTTTGTCAATTATTGTCGAGAGCGGTTCAGATTATTATATAGCTCTCATATATATGTTTATCCGATATCAACTTTATTGTGTACCAAGTGGCTAATATCAGCCCAAATTGTCTGAATTTTGGCCATTGCGACTGAATTCATCCTAGAAACCAGTACTTGAAATTTGGTGTAAATCGGTTCAGATATAGCTATAGCTCCCATGTATATGTTTTATCCGAATTGGGGTTTAAATATTACGCTTATGAGGGTAATATGCATTCCACAACAATGATCTTTGGTAACAGATATCAGATACAGCTGTGAAATAAGTGTTTAAAATTTTGTCAAAATCGGTTCAGATTTGGATATAGCTCCCATATATAACCTCAACCAATTTCGGGTTAATTGTGCACCAAAGAGCCAATATCAGTCCAAATGATCTGAATTTTGGCATATCCAACCGAATTTAGTCACGAAGCAAGTACATTAAATTTGGGGAAAACCGGTTCAGATATAGCTAAAGCTTCCATATATATGTTTCATCCCATTTGGTGTTTAAGTCCCTCACATTCGTGATATGCATTCGACAACAACGATATTTGGTACCAGAAATGTTATAAATCCCGGAAACACCTTTGCCAAATTTCATCGAGAACGGCTTGGATTTGGATATAGCTCCCATATACATCTTTAATCCGATTTCAGGTTTGTTGTGCAAGTACAGGGTGAGATAAGAAAATTGCAGGAAAGTCAAACGCCATAATTTTTACATTTTTTTAATTTAATTTTTTTTTTTAATTTTAAAATATTAATTTTTTTTTTTAATTTTATTGAATGGAAGCAAAAAATGTCGGAAATAGCATCAAATTTTAGAATAAGTTTGGCTTGGTTCGAATTGGGCACTTTTGGCACGAATTATGGCCTTCAAACGGTCAATGAAACAGTTACACACTGCCTGAGAGTTGCTCTGCGGTACTTTGGCCCATTCCCGGCAAAGCACTTGCTTGAGGTGATCGACACTTTGGTACTTTTTAGCGTCAACCTTCCTTTCCAAAATACTCCAAACAAAATAGTCCAACGGATTGGTATCCGGAGTTTTTGGTGGCCATTGTGCGCTGGAAATGAAGCGAGGAACCTCATTTTTTAACCATTCTTGGGTGGAGCGTGCTGAGTGCGATGGTGCTGAGTCCTGTTGGAAAATTCAAGGTCTGAGGCCAAAATGTTTGCGTGCCCAAGTCTTTAATATACCCTCCAGAATATTTTCGCGATGATATTCGGCATATTCTGATGCCACGGTCGATTAATACGAAAGGAGAGCGACCATCGGCTGATATGGCGGTCCACACCATCACCATGGCCGGCGCTAGAGTTCTTGTGGCCAACCGAATGTGCACATTTTCAGCTGACCTGACCCTAAACAATATCATTTTGTTTGTTTACAAACTGCTGGACAACAAATGTTTTCTCATCGGAGAAAACCAATTTCGGCAGTTCACCACTTTCGGCCAAGCTAAGCACCTCTTTAGCTCTTTTGAGACTAGTTTTTTTCTGTTGCGGTGTCAGATCTTGCACTTTTTTGAATTTCAATGGCTTTACCCCGAACTCATTTTTCAATATTTTCCGAATGGAATATTGCGATATGTCCAGCTCACGAGCCATTTTTCGGCCACTGCGACGCGGTTTCGGATCAAGTCGCTTCTTTATTTTTCGAACCATTTCTGCTGATGTTGCTGTTTTCTTCTGTTTTCTTCCACTTCCTTGACGTCGGGCTACGCTACCAGTATGACGGTAACGAGCGATGGTACGATACACAAAAGTTTTATTCAAATTTAAATGGTCGAGTGCTCTAACGTTAGCCACATGTGCTTTTCCAGCCAAATATAAAAAAAATCACACTATCAAGCTTGAATTCCATCACGAATAACTTTTTTTTGGAAAATTCTCACCAAATGCTTTTGTCTGCTTGTAAGCAATATAATAAGCTGTCACTGGAATAATATTAACAGCTGTCGGACGAGTGGTTTAGAAATGACAGCAGTCTGATTTTGGTTGCAGTTTTTTTTTCATCTCACCCTGTAATGGTTAAAATCAGCTCAAATGGAGTGAATTTCGGCACGTACGTTTCCATTTTGTGCAACTCGGCTCCGATATATATTTTTATACTCTACACCTTGGAAAGGAGGGTAACGATGTCCGTCTGTCTGTCCGTGTGTCTGTTAAAATCACGATACAGCCCACATTATTTGACGTAGAGTGCCAAAATTTAGCAGAGCGATTTTTATTGGTTGGTGGTTGGTATTGAAAATGATATATATTGGTCCACGTTCTGGTATGGTCCCCATACAACGGTACCTCCCGATATTGGGTATTTTGATGCCACATTTTTTCACGGATTTTTCTGAAAATTGGTATTTGTGGGCCAGAAAGGGTCCTAGTGTGGCGAAACATTGCATATATGGATCCACGATTTGGTATAGCCCCCATATAACGGTACCTCCCGATATTCGGTATTTTAATTATTTTTGCCACATTTTTTCACGGATTTGTTAAAGAATTGGTATTTGTTAGTCATAATGGGTTCCAGCTTCGGTGACGAAACATTGCATGTATGGGTCCACGATTTGGTATAGCCCCCAAATAACGGTACCTCCCGATATTCGGTATTTTGATGGTTTTTACCACATTTTTTCACTGATTTGTCTTAAAAATGGTATTTGTGGGCCAGAATGGGTCCAGCTTCGGTGGCGAAACATTGTATGTATGGGTCCACGATTTGGTATAGCCCCCATATAACGGTATCTCCCGATATTCGGTAATTTGATGATTTTTGCCACATTTTTTCACGGATTTGTCTAAAAAATGGTATTTGTGGGCCAGAATGGGTCCTAGTTCGTGTGGCGAAACATTGTATGTATAGGTCCACGTTTTGCTATAGTCCCCATATAACGGTACCTCCCAATATTCGGTATTTTGATGATTTTTGACACATTCTTTCACGGATATGTCTAAAAATTGGTACTTGTAGATCATAATAGGTCTCAGTTCGTGTGGCGAAACATTGTAATTATAGGTCGACGTTTTGGTATAGCCCCCATATAACGGTACCTCCCGATATTCGGTAATTTGATGATTTTTGCCACATTTTTTCACGGATTTGTCTGAAAATTGGTATTTGTAGGTCATAATGGGTTCTAGCTCCTTTGGCGAAACATTGCATGTGTAGGTCCACGATTTGCTATAGCCCACATATAACGGTATCTCCCGATTTGCCACATTTCTTCTAATGTTTCCTTCACCCTAAGGTGGAGGGTATTAAAAGTTTGGCCCGGCCGAACTTAATGTTTTTTTACTTGTTTTTAATATAATCTCTCTCTAAGAGATATCATTTTTATCCCATGAAACATTGCATGTGTAGGTCCACGATTTGCTATAGCCCACATATAACGGTATCTCCCGATTTGCCACATTTCTTCTAATGTTTCCTTCACCCTAAGGTGGAGGGTATTAAAAGTTTGGCCCGGCCGAACTTAATGTTTTTTTACTTGTTTTTAATATAATCTCTCTCTAAGAGATATCATTTTTATCCCATGACCTACTATAACAAAAATAATCCATTTATTATAGATACCTCCAGATTGGCCTTACCAAAATCTAGTTTTTATTTTATTTATTGTTTCCCTATAAAATTTAATTAAAACCCCTGCACCAACTGACAAAAAAAAATAAATTATAATCCCTTCGCGCCTCTCTCTGGCTACACATATCCCACATTCTAAAATAGAAATGCGTTTCATTTCTTTCTTTACTTTTTCTTCTTCAAATAACAAATGTCCAAAGTAAATGTTCACATTGGAGCCATTAATAATGCCTCAAGGTCTGACACTACTTTTAAGCTTTTCTTTTTATTGTTTCGATGTCTTTTTCTACGCTACATAAAATCTTTAGACATTGTTTTTTTCTCTTGGCATTTTTTTTTTGTTCTCTCTTTCTCTTCCACTACCGAGCATTTTAATGTTTGGGGGATTACAAATTAAAAAGGAGAACTTACACATAGGGGTCTTTAGTGGAGCTGAGATGTGTTTTTTTGTTGTTGTTACTTCTCTTATGTTTTTTTTCCTGGCCACCATTGTTATATGGCGTAACACCTTTGACGGGTTTTAAGCTAGGCGGTCAGAAGAAAGAAAAACAAACATAAAATAATAATACACCAGGAAACGCCGGACAGGAAAAGTTATGGAGAAAGGACTTATGCCGCTCGAGCAACAAAGCCTTAATCCATGACAAAGGCATCCTTTCGGGTAGTGGCTAGCAAAAAAGAAGAAGGAGAAAAAATCAGCAGACATGGTCTGCGACAAGGCAAGCAAGTTAAAGGGAATAAGAATAGAACGGCAAGATACCAGAAATAAGGGATTAAAACAAATAAATTACGCTTAGCCCTAGACCTCCCTCTTTCTCTCTCTTTGTATATCCTCCCCCTTTTGATGAGAAGTTATACTAGAAACCAGGCAAGGAATTAAAATATTCCAAAATAAGAACTGATTAAACAAATGCAATTTCAATGTTAGGATATTTGCGGAAAGAAATGAGATAGAATGAGAAAGGAAGAAAAAAATAGAAGAAAACATGGATTGGTCTTTCGAGTGGTGGCGGAGGATGGCCATGCTATTGGAGGTAATCTGAAGTAGGAGGAAAAAGCGAGTACAGAGAAGCGAGTACAGAGAAGAAAACTAATTAGTCGTTCGACAAATCAAAAAAGGAAAGGTTGAAAATAAACTCAGCCAAAGGCATGAAAATGTGAAATGATTTCAGAGCAAAACAAAAAAAAATGTGATTTAACGGACAATTGAAATAAATGGACATAGAAAAAAATAAATAAATTTGAAGGGAACATTATCCATTCGGTGTTTAAGAATATATTGAAATTGTCATTAATATTAAAGAATATATTTGTAATAAGGGAGAGCTAAAAACAAATATAATCACATTTAGGGGGCAGTATACTTTATCAAACTACCAGCAATAAAGAAATCCGATTTGGGGTTTTAAGTCTCTCACATGCGTAATACGCAGCCCAGAAGTATTATATTCGGTACCGGGCATCAGATACAACCCGGAAATACCTCTGTCAAATTTCATCAAGATCGGTTCAGATTTGGATATGTCTCCCACATATATCTTCAACCGATTTTGGGTTATTTGTCCACCAAATAGCCAATATCAGTCCAAATGACCTGCATTTTGGCATATCTAACCTAATGCAATCTAGAACCAAGTAAATCATATTTGGAGAAAATCGGTTCAGATATAGCTATAGATCCCATATACACGTTTTATCTGATTTGGAGGTATATATCCCACAAATTCTTAATATGCATTCGACAACAATGATAGTAGGTACCGGATATCATATACAACACAGAAATACTTTTGCAAAATTGTTTCAAGATCAGTTCAGATCTGGATATAGATCCCGTATATAGCTCTAGCCGATTTAGGATTAATTGTGCACCTAATGGCTAATATCAGTCCAAATGACCTGATTTTTGGCACATTCAACCGAATTCGGTCTAGCAGCAAATACATCAAATTTGGTAAAAATCGGTTCAGATACAGTAAAAGCTCCCATATATAGGTTTCATCCGATTTGGTTTTTAAGTACCCTACATTCGTGATATGCATTTGACAACAATGATAATTGGTATCAGATATCAGATACAGCTCCAATATATAGCTTCAGCCGATTTCGGATTAATTGTTCACCAAATGGCCAATATCAGTCCAAATGACCTGAATTTTTGTACATTCGATCGAATTCAGTCTACCAGCAAGTTCATCAAATTTGGTGAAAATCGGTTCAGATATAGCTATAGCTCTCATATATATTTTTCATCCGATTTAGTGTTAAAATCCCTCACATGCATAATATGCACTCCACAAGAATTATATTTGGTACCCGATATCAGATACAACCCAGAAATACCTCTTTCAAATTTTATCAAGATCAGTTCAGATTTGGATATAGCTCCCATATATATCCTTAATGCGATTTCAGGTTTAATTTGCAAATAAATGCCAATATCAGCCCAAATGGAGTACGGGAGAAATACCAAAAATATGCATAGTGGTGTAGGGTATTATATAGTCGACCCCGCCCGACTTTTGACCTTTCTATACTGGTTTTATATATTTTTTAATATCGTCAATATAATATTTTCTTTCTTATAAATATAAGTTTTTCATTGTTATTATTAAATTTTGTGTTTATTTTTACCCCTTTTCAGGTCTACTATTACATTGTCGACTCACCACGAAACGAAGGCAAAGAATTTTTCGAAATAAATCTTCAAAGCGGTGAAATTTTCACCAAAACCGTATTCGACAGAGAGAAGAAAGGTGCCTACGCGCTGGAGGTTGAGGCCCGCGATGGCGCTCCCTCGGCTCGACCCAACAGCAATGGACAACCAAATTCAGGTAAGGGCACAAAAACAATATTATAAAAAACTAAACTAAAACTTGTTTAAGAAAGCTCGAGTTTTAGGTTATAAATACTAGGGTGGCTCACTTTGATCAAGAAACATGCTCACAACGGATTTTATTATTATAATCTTAAAAAAATGCTGAAAAATTGTCTGGCCTAAAAATTAAAAAAAAAAAAATAATAGCTCTGACGATGGCTCAAAAATAAATTATATTATTTTAAAGCTGATACCTTAGAAAAATATTGCTTAAAATCCATGTTTGCAGCTCTGAGTTTTGCTCACAAAATCCTGAAGAGTCCTGATGGTGGATCAAATAATATTCCATAAATTTCCACATTTACGAATAGCTCTATAATAGCTCAAAAATTTCATGAATAGCGCTGACAGAGGCTCAGAAATTTTCCTTAAAAAATACGTTTATGGAGCTGATGGTGGCTCAAAAAAGTTTAGAAGAAACCTACGAAAAGCTCAACCAGGGCCCCAAAAATATTCACATTTATAGCTTTAAAAGCCTCTCAAAAATAATAATATAAATATATATTCATATATACGGCGGGTCAATAATTTTCTAAAAAAACGTTCTCTGAAGGTGGCTTACGCATCTTCCATAAAAACCCCGTTAACAGCTCTTTTCCTAGCTCGAAAATATTACAGAGAATAGTGGCACAAAATAAATTATAACTTTCATGATTAAATGCACGATTACGCCTCTGCAAAGCTCTCTGAGGCCATCTAAAAACGCGATTGCGGCTCTTAAAAATTTTACAAAAAACATTTGATATGTCTATAATTACAGCTCTGATAGTCCTGAGTTTTCAAAATAATACTGAGATAATGCAAGATTATATGTCTGAAGATTCTTCAAAATGTTTACTTAAAAAATCCACGATTATAGGTCTGAAGGTAGTTTAACATTTTTTTCTTAAAAATACACGGTTATAACTGCGAAGGCTCTTTAAAAATTCTCAATTATTTCTTCAACAGCTTTTAGTTTTTTACATATTTGTCTTTATATCCAAACGAAATTCTTCCAGAAAAAATCCGAAATTACACCTCTAAAATTCCCTCAAATAAAACGTCTTCGATCAAAACCCTTATACATCTTAAATTTTTTAAAAAATATTCCTTAAAACTTTTTTTAAATCCATAATTACAAATTAGATAGTCTTTTAAAAAAACCTCGATTGCAGCTCTGTATATCCCTTAAAAAATCTTTTTAAAAAGTGCTTGATTTGAGCTCCGATAATACTTCACAAAATTTGCTAAAAAAAATCCACAATTGGAGTTCGAATAGTCCATAGATAATATCTTAAAAATCCATTATTATAGCGTCAGCGTTCTTAAAACTATTTTCTTCAAATATATTAGATATTTCCTCGATTTTTTTAATCAAGATCTTAGCTCTAATGTTTCCTCAAAAAATGTTCTAAAGGTCTTTCGAAAAAAATGTCCTAAAACATCCACGGTTATAGTAGCGATAGTTGGTGAAAATTTTTTTCAAATAAAAAAAATAATAATTATAGGCCCTTTTAAAAAAGTCACGAATATTTATCTTTTCCTTTCAAAAAATCCACAATTATAGCTCTGAAGGTCCCTTAGGAATTCCTTTTAATAATCCGTGATTGCAGCTCCGAAAATCCTTCACAAAATCTTGTTGAGAAATTCCCAATTAGAGCTCTGTTTAAAAAAATCGATTTAAAAAATCCACTATTTTACCCCCCGAGGTTCTTCAAAATTATTAAAGCTCCTGAGGTACTTCAATCAATATTTAAACTTTGAAGATTCCTCAAAAAGTTGTCTAAATTCTCTCGAAAAAATGTCCTTAAACATATACGGTTATAGTTTCGTTGCTTTTAAAAGACACGCAATTACAGGTCTTAAAGTCCTTCGTAGAAAAATCACGATTATTTCTCTTAAGATCCCTTAAAAATCCTTTTAAAATTTGCGATTTTAGCTTTAAAGATTAGAATTGGAAATCCTTTTTAAATTCAATGATTACAACTCCGATAGTTCTTGTTCAAAAATCCACAATTAGACCTCCGATGGTCCTCAAAAATATCTGCTGGTTCTTCAAATAATTTTCTTTAAAAAGCTCTGATGTTTCTTCTTTAAAAAAAAAAAACAAAGTTCTGGCTGTGAAGGTTCTTCAAAAAAAAAAAAAATAAATAAATAAATAAAATAAAATAAAATAAAATAAATAAATAAATAAATAAAATAAAATTATAAAGATCCATTGAAAAAATGTCATAAAACATCAACATTTATTATTCTAATAGTCGTTGAAAAATTAAAAAATCCATAATTACCTCCAAGATGATTTTTAAAAAGATATTTAAAAAAGAATCGTGACAATACCTCTGAAAAAACAAAACATTTTTAATAAATCCATGATTTCAGCTCCCCAAACAATATTTTTCCAAACATTTTCTGAGTAACTAAGTTCTTGGATTATATGCATAGAGTCATTGCAGAACTTCACAATTCCTTAGTGGAGAAAAATGCAGATCTCCTCTGTTGCACCTTAATAGCTGCTACCCATTACGAATGGCCTTAAACTAAGGTGTTCCTTAGGTTATATATGATGACATTAGCAGAAGTTTTTCCATGTTTTTTCTTTTATTTCTTATTTTGATAATGGTCAAGAGTCGTTTAATTGTATTTTCAAACTTTTCTAGGGTGGGACGTTTGCTTTAAATTTCATGTGACCAAAATAAGTTTCTGTGAAGTTTTTTTCATTTTTCGTTTGTGTTCTGATTTCATTGCCACATGGACAAACATTTTTTGAGAGTTTTTATATTTCTTTTGTCCTTGCTGCAAATAGACGAAACTTGCAACATTTGTGTGGTGTTGTAATATGCAAATGCAATTCGATACAGTTTTCTTACGGTTTCATTTCATTGCATAAAAATTAAACTTAAAATTTCTCGCCATTTGGCAAGAAATGCCTTAAAAAGCAAATAAGTCATTAAAAATACTACAGCTTTTGTTGTGCCCTACTAACCCTTTTGCGATTTTGTCCACTAGAAAAGAATATAAGGAAAAATTCATCTGATATTTAACATATTTACCAAAGATCTTAATTTATATTAATAATATTTCGAACATCGTATATGTATGGTACCCTACATACTGTACTGCTAGCAAAGTATTTCATAAAAAATTCTACTTGGTCTTGTACCTGCTCTCCCTTTTAAATATTAATAGACTTTATACAGTTATATAAGGGGGAGGATACAAAAATTTCTATCCGGCCATTTTTCCATTCTTTATGTTTATTTTTGTGTTTTGTTAGTCTTTGATTGTCCCTCCTCCTTTTTTTCTCAAAATGTCCCGCAAAGTTTTCAGTGCTTGTTAAGATATTCCAAATAGAAGGTGTTGTACCAGATTGTGATTTGATAAGGAAATATTTTAGCTTAAGCTATTTTTGGCGTATTTAAAGGAGAATAAAAAATAAAAAAACATCAGTTGAAGAAAACAAAAGAAGCAATCAGAGAAAGACATGATGAGTGTTCCGGCACCCGGGTCTTTCCTGAAATATATATTTTCCATTTTTTTATTTTATAGATGAAAATCGAATGCAATGTTTTGTCGTTGGAAGATCAGAATAAAGTCAATGTTTTTTGGCTCAAATTTTATGAAATCAGTTCTGTCAAAATACGATTTTTTACATTAAGGAGTTCTCTCTATGAAAGTTTGGGGGATCTATGACCCGGCCCATTTGTGAGATTTTTGTATTTATACCCTACACCACATAGTGCTAAGGGTATTATTTCTTTGTGCATTTGTTTGTAACATGGAGAAGGAAGCGAGACAGGCCCATAGTTACTTTTGAGGATCTTCATAGAATCATTTTCAGAGACGATTTTAGTCCGTCTGTCCGTCCTAATAATCTCTTGCCTGCAGGCAGGTCAAGTTCGAAGACGGGCTGCATCGGTCAAATTTCCATGGAATTGTCTGAAATTCTACACATGGAGTTCTTTATAAGTACTTTACCCCCTGAAAGAGAATTGTCTATATAGGTCCACGATATCGTATAGCCCAATATAAAGTCACCCCTCGATATTCGGTATTTTGATGATTTTAGCCACATTTTCAACGGAATTGTTTGAAAATTCTAACAAGAAGTTCCTTGTGAGTACTTTATCCCCTAGAATTGTCTATATAGGTCCACGATATCGTATAGCCCCATATAAAGGTACCCCCAATATTCTGTATTTTGATGAAATTTTTCGATGGAATTGACTTGAAATACATAAAAGGAGTTTCTTGTGAATTCATTACCCTCTGGAGGAGAATTGTCTATATTGGTTCACGAAATTCCGATATTTTGTATTTTGATGATTTTTGCAACATTATTCACCGGTATTGTTTTATATTTCATATATAAAGTTCGGAACAGTTACCACAGCCTATGACACAAATTACTAATGCAGCACCACGTTTTCGTATAGCCCCCGTATAACGGTTTTCAATTGAGCGGTATTTTCCGACGAAATTTTTTTTTTGAAATTTTTCAGGTTTCCTCCAAACGGTGGAGGGTGCAAACAGTTCCGCCCGGCCGAAATTAACTGCTTTTTGACTTGTTTAATATAAACCCTATAGCTCTATTAGTTGGTATAAAAGATTAAAATGTCTCCGTCAAATTAATTGAAAATCGATTCAGAATTGGATATGCCTCCCATATATTAGTTCCCTCTGAAGCCAAACTACAACTGCTCTAAAGCCAAATGTTGATAGGTGGTATGATCTATTTAAAATAATTTTCTTTGTTACGTAAGTTCTACTAAATATGGATAGTGGTGTGGTGTATCATATAGTCGGCCCCGCAGGACTTTTGACATTTCCTTATTGGGTTTAAGATGAAAAATTTGGGCTAGTGGGCCCAAAAAATGTTTTTAAGTTTTATTTCTGGGTTGATGAAACAAAATTAACAGTTCGGCCTAAACAGGATTTTTTACATTACGGGGATCTATCTAACACTACTTTACTTTT